CTCACTAAGACTTCTTGGCTGTATCCTTTCAAGCCAGCCAAAGGTTTACAAGGATTTCATCCAGACCTTCTCCAATTTTTTTGATGAGACAAAAAAGTACCGCTAGAATCTATGAATTTCCTTTCAAATTGAGTCTTGAAACAGGCATGTCTTCAGTTCCCATGGACATTTTTTTTTATCTTTGAGATTTCACCAAGTTTCATTTACCAAAGAAAATATCTAGATTTTTTTTTGCAAATGTAAATGCTTTGCAATGACTTCTTAAAGTCAAGATCCAATGTAAATTCTTTTTGTGGCTTCATCTATACTTATGTAAATCCAGTCTGTATGTTCATATGCTTCTTTTGCACCAGGTAGGTCCCAAAGTAAATTCCATACATATATATATATATATTCTAATTCACCTATCCTGAAAGAATTTTCTTCTGTTCTTGAGATGAGTTTTGCAAGCCACTGCAGTGCACCAATGGATTTCATGCATTGTCTTGGTATTTGATTTCAGGATTACTGTAAACCTTTTGGTACAGTCACAAGCAATATAATATATAGATAGATAGATAGATAGATAGATAGATAGATAGATAGATAGATAGATAGATAGATAGATAGATAGATAGATAGATAGATAGATAGATAGAAACATGATTTCACACAAAAAAACCCAAATAAAATCTCAAGTATAGTCTCGCGCAAGTATCAAAGACACCTCAAATAAAGTCTCAAGTAGTCTCCAGTGCAATCTCAAGTAAAGTAACTCTTAAACACTCTACTACAGAAACAGCAACATATCGATTGAAATCCTCCAGCGGAAAGACCCCATTCATAGCCAAATCATCACAATCCACAACCACACACATCCAAAAAAGAACAAAATCCATCGAAAAAAATGCAAAACAAACATATTTTTCATCATGCATTAAAACATGCAAAATTTTACTAACGTTAGTAAAATCATTTACTAACATTAGTAAAATTTTACTAACGTTAGTAAATTTTACTAACGTTAGTAAAATTTTACGTAAAATAACGTTAGTAAAACAGTCGATTTTACGTAAAATTCAGGGCGAGTAAAATTACTAACTTTCGAGACTTAGGGAAGTCAACCCCCAAAAGTCCCAAAGCCAAAGCGCCTGGCTTCCGCGCAGTCTGGGAGCCAAACTGCGAAAGCATGGCGGCCTCGCACCCCACAAGCATCGAGGATGGGAGCTCCGTCTCCTCTGCAATGATCACTCCTGCATGGCAGGGACTTTTCATCAGGCTCACTGCTTAATACTGCTTATAGGAATTAGATCGAAACAGAACTTTCGCCGCATGATGGGGGGACTTCAGGCAAATCGTATTCTTGAGGGCAAATGTTGGCACGCAATGGAAGATGGAATTGGCGCAGACAGAACAGATAGATGAGATGCAATGAATCATCTCTGGCTCCCTGCCCCAGGATCCCACAAATCACCAAAAAATCACCAAACATATACATCCCAGAAATTTCCAGACGTGATAAAAATATTCCGTGTAATTAGGGAGGAAGCGTCTCTCCGCCAAAATAACCCCAAACAAGGAAGGTCAGACAGCACAACGGCATACAATGGCATCTCGTTTTGCAACTCACGCAGTTTACACCATGTTGCAAGCAGTGTACACCATGTTGCACTGCGAAACTGTCATTTTGCGTCGTAGCTGCTTCGCAGCTCAACTCAAACCTGTCATAAAACTCTTGCCTCCTCCTATCTGCAGCAAATGGGAAAAGTGACAAATCTTAACAGGTTGCGCAGTACAGGAGTGCAGTGCGAACTGCCCCACGACCGACAGCCGTTGATCAAAGCAGTGCACCGTTCTATTTTATGACTGATTGCAGCTGAAAAAAAACCTAACTCGAGAAAAAGACACCAAAAAGAGCAAAAAACACAGCCCTGCACAACCATCAGGTTCTCTTTTTTTCCCCGCTTTCTGTCAAAGTCTGTCCATGCGGGAGTCAATCGGCTCCTTGTTTTCGAAGGTCTTTCAGCTTCCTCTGGATTCGCCCGAACCTCTGGCCAGCAGTTTTCAGCCGACCAGTGGCTTGACCCAGCTGGTGATCCTTCTGCCAAAGGAGGCGCTCTAGCTTCTCCTGGCACAGGGCAGTGTGATGCCAATTTAGGGGGACTAGCAGATGCGGCAGTGTCAGTTTGACAGTGTGTGGACAACCTCTGGCATGACATGGCGGACACGTGAATCACGCAAAGAATGTCTCTTGGGGGCAATCTGCACATAAACCTGCACTCACAACTTACAACTTACAACGTGCTGTGGAAGGCCAATTGATGCCAACTGCCTGGCCTGTGACGTCAAGGACAAGCCCATTTCAATGTCCTCAGGGCAGTGCGGGCACAAACTCCATTAGCCATCATTAGCTTGTATAAACGCAAAGGTGGCAAAAACAGCACTGCTCTTCTGACATGGTGGAGGGAAAACATCCGAAAAACTTCCAGCAAGCAAACAGACATACAATCGCTCGACCATCTCAGCATCGATTTTGTCCCAGTTTCCTCTGCAGCGTGCGTGATCGGGGGAGCCTCTCAGCGGCACTCGGCTCAGCCAAGAGCGGTGTTGCACCAAAAAAGGGTGGATCCCGCCAGTATCCGCCAGTGCTACAAAAATGCTGTCACCAGGGCCATACAGGTCGAATCCAAGAGGCGCATGAACCCACACGGTACCATGACGTACCATGCCTGGGTGGTTGGCATTGACGGAGGTGCGCGCCCTGCACTCCTCGGAATGCAGGGACCATGATCAGGGCTGACAAGGGGGTGCGGCAGAACGGCATCAGAATGTCACAAGGCCCTGGCTGCCTTTGGCGGAAAGTCGAAAACAGCTTCCATAGGATCATGCGAATGAAGAAAACAATGATAAATGCAGCAACGTCAGCAGTTTCTTGAACAATGGTAGGCGTGGGACATTTGAAGAGGATCTGGAAAGATGCATGTCGCGTGGCAAGCGCAATACAAGAGACACATGAGTTAGATGTGTTAGAAGATCAGGGCGGAGATTTCCTGAGAAGGGTGGCATTTTGGAGCATGAGATCTTCAGCTTTGCGAAGATGATTTTGCGTGACAGGTGCAGTACTTCGTATGACCCGGCCTCACTTTCTCCTGGCAGGCGCAATACTTTAGAGACATGGAGTAGAAAAGTCGCAAAACGCATTGGCACGAGGCCGTCAATGCTGCACTCAACTTTCCATTTTTGAAGGAAGTCTCGCAGAATTGCTTCGTTATTGATGTTGCCAACTTCAAAAACTGAGGATGCATCGCTGAATTGCTGAGCTTTTGCCGTATCAAGTTCAAAAGTTGAGGAGGCCTTGCAGACATGCTTCGTTTTTGACGTTGTCAAGGTCAAAAATTGAGGAAGTCTCGCAGAATAGCTTCGTTTTCAAGCTTGCAGGTAGGCAGATAGATAGATAGACAAATACAAGTACAACTACCACTACACTACACTACGACTACACTACAAATGCAAACATACCATGCTACATTACACACAAGTAATTACATCTAGTTACACTACGCTACACTAACTACACTAAAACCACAACAACTACTACTACCGCAGCCCGAACTACAATTACAACTACACTACGTTACACTATACTACACTAGTTAAACTGAAGCACGCTACAGCTACAAATACATATACAACTGCAACTACACTACATTACACAACACTATACACTACACTAGTTACATTACATTACTCTACAGCTAAAACTAGAACTGCAACTACAATTGCAACTACCACTACATTTATGACCCCGTGTAGAACAGAGAAAGTGGATTTTAGCAAAACAAATAAAAAAAACAAAGACAGAATCACCAAAGAAAAATCGACAGGAAGAATCACCAGAAGAAGCAAAAAAAAAACAAGAAAAAACACAAAAAAAACCTGCATTTTCCGCAGTTTTTTTTTTTGTTTGTTTTCCCCTTGGTTTTGGTTTTCTAGTTTGTTTTTTTGTTTGCTTTGGTTTTGTTTTTTTTTTCCTTTTTTTTTGGTCCAACCCTATATTCTCTGTGTTGTTGGACTCATAACACTACATTGAACTACACGACACGATGCTACACTAATTACACTACACCACGCTACAACTACAACTACACTACCTTACGCTGCACTACACTAGGCTACACTACACTATACGACACTAATGTACACAACACTACGGTACACTTACAATACACTACACGAATTACACCACACCACAACTACAACTACAACTGCAACTGCATCTACACTGCACTTATTACACAGTACAACTACAACTCCACTACACCACACCACTACTACAACTACAACTGCGCTCCACCACACTACATCCAGCAGTTGTGGGTGAGGTGACCACTGCAAACATTGCAACCATTGCAACCATTGCAACCACTCCAAAAAACGCAACTTCACCCACCTTCGGTCCATCAGTGGGTTCGCTCTGCCATCCGTGATTCACAAAAACCAACCTCTCCTATAGGTTTCCTATTTTGAAACCTCCGCCACCGCCTTGCGCGGTACTACTGGTATAAATAGCTATGTTAATTGAACTTGCGCTAATTCATTGTGAAATCATGGTATTTGGCGAACTATACACATGTATCCATAGACATCCATAGATCCTAGCTCTCATACACAAATTCTTTCGATATGTATATATACATATATATATATATCACAACCACACTTTTATAGCCAATGATACCTCATAATGTTACCTCTAGTTTTTACCACCCATTTGGTACAGTAAACCCTAGTTACTGGTGGTTATAAACTCTTGTTCTGATACATATATCATCATGTCTATAGTTAACGGTGGTTCTAAACCCACTAAGAACCGGCAAGATGGTAAACTACAGACCACCATCAACTATATTTAAATAAATAAATAAATAAAAAAATATATATATATAGATGAGATAAGTGTATCAAATGGTAAGGGGGATACATCATGGTAAGGTGATACATCGCCCCAGGCTGCCAGCGGCCTTACGCAGGCTCTCCAAGATCTTACGGAGCAGAAGGGAACCCAGGCCTTTCTTCTGCACGGCCTCAGGCATTACAAAACGCGAATCCGGGCGGAATCCGGGCGGAATCTGGGCGGAATCCGGGCAATTCCCCAGAGTTATGGCCCGCAACAATCTTAAACAGGATTATAATGATATATGGTATAACCTTAGTTATAGGAGTTTTAATCCCATTCATGAGTGTTAAGGGCCATAACTGTGACAAATGCACAGGTTTCACCGGAAAATCGATGAACATATGGGAAGAAATGAAAAATCGATGAACATCTGGAAAAATAAATATGAATATCTATTAACATCAGGAAAAGTCTAAGAACATATGCAAACCACATGTTTTGGGGGAAGTCAACGAACATCACCGAACTAAATGGAGTTGACTTGTGGGACATGTACCAAGACTTAGTAGTTAATAGACATTGCAATGGGAAAAACATGGAACTAAATAGGGGATCAGGCTAATGAGTAGGTGAAGTTAACTTGGATTGATGGCGGATATATGCGGATATACTAGGAACATACCCAACACGTTTGCCATTGGTTTACAGTGAAAAACGCCAAAATTAAACTTAGATTGGTCTAAAAACCAGCTTAAGCATCGGCTCGCGGGTTTGAATTGATTTTTAACTAACTAGCTTCATGGCTGGGGTTTTCGTGATGATGACGATATTACATATGGCCCGAAATACCGGCTATAAATAGGATTACAATGATATATATATATATATATAACCTTAGTTATAGGAGTTATAATATTGTTTAGCTGTTAAAGGCCATAACTGTAGCTAGGACCACCCTGCATGTCCTCCCCCTTTTTGGTGGCCAAGGGGCCCCTTCAATGGAAGACCCTGCGGTCTCCAAGTTGTGTTTTCACATCAATTCTCAGGATGGCGTCTCAATTTTCCTAGGTGTGTGTTTCCTTACAATGTGAGGCCCCGTTCGATAGCCAAGTTGGCGAACATAACTCCAATAACTTTGGTTTATGGTATTTGTAGCTATAGTTACTGGGGCGAATCTATACCAACTTACATCTTGGGGGCCTCACATTGTAATGCTCGATGATTGTAAACTCTCCAGAATTGAGGATAATGTGGTGAAACCGAAGTTAAACCAATAATAAACCATCCCGCAAATCACCATAAATAGGTTGTATAAACAATTCCCAAATGGGTGGTTTACTATCGTTTTAACCACATTATACATATTTTTGAATATATGTTCCATTATTTTCCCGTGTGTATAGTGGCCATGGCACCCTTGTACCGTTCCTGCTGTCAGAATAGATGATCTGATGGAATGGTAAATTATCATTTTCTGAGGGTGCGAACTTTTGCCAAAAAACATGTGAGATGATAGGATAGAACCAACCAATTGTCTGAACTGAGCAAAACATGTGGACACGGTTGCCATCATTCGCCATCTGACCAAGAGCGATTACGCAGTGTTGCAAACCCTCATTTCCTTATTGGTAGGTTCAGAGCGGATTCCTCATCGATCGTGCTAGTTCTCATCTAGAGGCTAGTAATCTAGTATAACTATAACAAAATACGGAGGCTCAGTAAAAATCTCTGAGCCAATGGTCATATCAACCATCATTCATCAAGGACATCCTCATATGTTTTGCTGATTTAATCCCCATGAACCATCAACTTAGAACATCAACAGGGCTGTCGAACGCAGCCGTCCCCGCGAAACCTTGGCCAATTTCAACGCAAGAACTCGCTGATTTCGTGGTTTGTTCAACACTTTCATGCCTTTCAGCTTTTCAATTTCAACGGCATCAGCCAGCAACTCGAGCTTGACAAGCTCTTCTGGATTCAAGCTGGGTTCCAAGGTTGTGTGTTCCAAAGGTTGTGTATGGAAGTATCCAGCATTTCAATGCGCCATCTTCCTTTGACGCTGAAAAAATCGAAAATCATACAAACCATAGTCATACCTCTCAAGTTCTTGTATCTCTGTGTCTTCAAAGAAAGTTAAATGATTGTCGTCTTCATTATCCAAAACTCGCAAGATTCTCTGGTGTCTGAATGGCCTGTCGCCATCTCCATCATTTCCATCATCATCCCTTTGGGGCGCAGAAAAGTCCATAGATAATGGTTATATAATAGTTATCTAACGCTTAAACAAACTATAAAAAATATAATCTGGTGCTAAGTGGCATGCACATCCACACAAGTTGTTACCATCCCCAAAAAAATCAGACTCAACATCCCATTAGTTTTGCGCCTGGGTGAACGCACGATGTTAACCATTTCAAATACCCTTCGGTAATCAAACATGGCAATGGGAACCCCACTATACATGAAGGTTTCAATGGTAAAATCGTCTATATACCTATATATATATAGATATATATATATATATAAATAGATATATATATATATATAGATATAGATACAGATAATTTTCCATTGCCATCTTTAAATTGCCAGCGTGTATTATCGCTGGCTGGGTTTAGGGGCAAAAATACAGGTTTACCGTTTACCGCTGTGTTTAGCAAATAATGTCCTGCAATTTTTCCCTCAACCAATTCTGGGATATAAACAACGCACACCTGGGTCCCACTTCCGTTTGTCTGAAAATTATGGAACCCCCAAATTTTGATGCTTTATCATAACTGATCATCATCCAAAATGGAACGTGCTGGGTCCCACACAGGATGAACACACAGCCGCATGACCTCAACGGCCATTGGATGGAAAGGAGCAGTCAAAATTGGGGAAAGAAAATAAAACATGGTGAATCATGGTGATTTTCAAAGGGAAGTGGTGACAAACCATTCGATTGTAGGGAAGTGCCGACAAACCATTGGATAATATTTCAGACAAACTGCAGTAAACAATATCAAAGATTTGATTTGTTGTTTTTTCCCCACATCTTTGTGTGGGGATCTTGTTTTTGGTTCTGTATCCCGCCGCCTCCGGCCGCCTTCCTCCTCCCGCCGCTTGTCCTCCCCACAACTTGCCCATACACAACTTGTCATCACACAACTTGCTCACGCACAACTTGCCCACACACAACTTGCCCACACACAACTTGTGTGACACACAACTTGTCCTCAGACAACTTGTCCTCACACACCACTTGTCATCACACCACTTGCTCACGCACAACTTGACTTGTCATCACATAACTTGTCATCACACAACTTGTCCTCACACAACTTGCTCACGCACAACTTGTCATCACACCACTTGCTCACGCACAACTTGTCACCACACCACTTGCTCACACACAACTTGCCCACACACAAATTGGCCACACACAACTTGTCCTGACACATGTCCTCACATAACTTGTCATCACACAACTTGTCCACCTTCACTTTGCGTGGCAGGCGTGGCACTTGGCGACATCGACTGTCACTTTGCATGGCAGGCGTGGCACTTCTGGGCGTGGCACTTGGCATCCACCGTCGTTTCACGTGGCAGGTGTGGCACTTGGTGACATCGCCTATCACTTTGCGTGGCAGGCGTGCCGCTTATGGCACTGGGCCGGCTCTGGTGGCACACCGGGTTACCAAATGATGCCATGGACGCCGCGGCTCTTTGCGTCGCAGGCGTGGCACTTGGTGACATCGACTTTCACTTTGCGTGGCAGGCGTGGCACTTGATGACATCGACTTTCAGCGTGGCAGGCGCGGCACTTGGTGACATCGACTATCACTTTGCGTGGCAGGCGTGCCACTTACGGCACTGGGCCGGCTCTGGTGGCGCACCGGGTTCCCAAATGACGCCATGGACGCCGCGGCTGTTTGCGTGGCAGGTGTGGCACTTGGCGACATTGACCGTCACTTTGCGTGGCAAGCGTGGCACTTGGTGACATCGACGCTCACTTTGCGTGGCAGGCGTGGCACTTACGGCACTGGGCCGGCTCTGGTGGCGCACCGGGTTCCCAAATGACGCCGTGGACGCCGCGGCTCTTTGCGTGGCAGGCGTGGTACTTGGTGACATTGACTTTCATTTTGGTGGCCTGCGTGGCACTTGGTGACATCGCATTTCACTTTGCGTGGCAGGCGTGGCACTTGGTGACATCGACTATCACCTCACACAACTTGTCATCACACAACTTGCTCACACACAACTCTACTCCACAACTTGTCATCACACAACTTACTCAAACACAACTCAACTCACACTTGGTGACATCGACTATTACTTCGCATGGCAGGCGTGCCACTTACGGCACTGGGCCGGCTCTGGTGGCGCACTGGGTTCCCAAATGACGCCATGGACGCTGCGGCTGTTTGCGTGGCAGGCGTGGCACTTGGTGACATCGACTTTCACTTTGCGTGGCAGGCGTGCCACTTGGTGACTTGGTGACTTCGACTTTCAGCGTGGCAGGCGTGGCACTTGGTGACATCGACGCTCACTTTGCGTGGCAGGCGTGGCACTTACGGCACTGGGCCGGCTCTGGTGGCGCACCGGGTTCCCAAATGACGCCGTGGACGCCGCGGCTCTTTGCGTGGCAGGCGTGGCACTTGCTGACTTTGACTTTCATTCCCCACGTCTTTGTGTGGGGTTCTTGTTTTTGGTTCTGCACTCCCGCCTTCTCCTGCCCTCCTCCTCCTCCCGCCGCCTCTTCCTCCTTCCGCTCAAACACCACTTGTCATCACACAACTTGCTCACACACACACACCTTGTCCTCACCAACTTGTCATCACACACCTTGCACACACACAACTTGTCACCACACAACTTGTCACCACACAACTTCCTCACACACAACTTGTCACCACACAACTTACTCACACATAACTTGCTCACACACAACTTGTCACCACACAACTTACACACACACACAACTTACTCACACACAACTTGTCACCACACAACTTACTCACACATAACTTGCTCACACACAACTTGTCACCACACAACTTACTCACACACAACTTGCTCACACACAACTTACTCACACACAACTTGCTCACACACACAACTTGTCACTGGCAGGCGTGGCACTTGGTGACATCGACCTTCACTTTGCGTCGCAGGCGTGGCACTTGGTGACATGGACGTGCACTTTGCGTGGCAGGCCTGGCACTTATGGCACTGGGCTGGCTCTGGTGGCGCGCTTGGGTCCCCGTTGGCGCCGTGGGCGCCGCGGCTTTTTGCGTGGCAGGCGTGGCGCTTGGTGACATGGACTTGCGTTTTGCGTGGCAGGCGTGGCAGGTGGTGACATGGATCGTCACTTTGCGTGGCAGGTCTGGCACTTATGGCACTGGGCTGGCTCTGGTGGCGCGCTAGTTGACGCCTTGGACGCCGCGGCTTTTTGCGTGGCACGCGTGGCACTTGGCAACATCAACCTTCACTTTGTGTGGCAGGCGTGGCACGTGGTGACATGGACGTCACTTTGCGTGGCAGGCGTGGCACTTATGGCACTGGGCTGGCTCTGGTGGCGTGCTTGGGTCCCAGTTGACGCCGTGGACACCGCGGCTTTTTGGGTGGCAGGCGTGGCACTTGGTGACATGGACTTGCACTTTGCGTGGCAGGCGTGGCAGTTGGTGACATGGATCGTCACTTTGCGTGGCAGGCGTGGCACTTACGGCACTGGGCCGGCTCTGGTGGCGCACCGGGTTCCCAAATGACGCCGTGGACGCCGCGGCTTTTGGCGTGCTTGGTGACATGGACTTGCACTTTGCGCGGCAGGCGTGGCACTTGGTGACATGTACGTGCACTTTGCGTGGCAGGTGTGGCACTTATGGCACTGGGCTGGCCATGGTGGCGCGCTTGGGTCCCAGTTGACGCCGTGGACGCCGCGGCTTTTTGCATGGCAGGCATCAAACTTGGCGACATCGTGTGGCAGGCGTGGCACGTGGTGACATGGACGTGCACTTTGCGTGGCAGGCGTGGCACTTGTGGCACTGGGCTGGCTCTGGTGGCGCGCTTGGTTTCCAGTTGACGCCGTGGGCGCCGCGGCTCTTTGCGTGGCAGGCGTGGCACTTGGCGACATGGACCTTCACTTTGCGTGGCAGTTGTGGCACTTATGGCATCTGGTGGCGCGCAACTTATTCACACACACACAATTACTCACACACACACACAACTTGTCCACACACAACTTGTCCACGCACAACTTGTCCACACACAACTTACTCACTAACAACTTGTCCACACACAACTTGTCACCACACAACTTGCTCACACACAACTTGTCCACACACAACTTGTCCACACACAACTTGCTCACACACAACTTGTCCACACACAACTTACTCACACACAACTTGTCCACACACAACTTGTCACCACACAGCTTGTCCACACACAACTTGTCACCACACAACTTACTCACACATAACTTGCTCACACACAACTTGTCACCACACGACTTCTCCACACACAACTTACTCCCACACAACTTCTCCACACACAACTTGTCACCACACAACTTCCTCACACACACTTTCTCACACACAACTTGGCACCACACACAACTTACTCACTCAACTTTGTCACATACAACTCTTTCACACACAACACTTTTACATACACAAACTTACACACACAACACTGTCGCACACAGCTCTTTCACCCAACCTGTCTTGCACCATCTCCTTTCCTTCCTGCCTTTCCCATCTCATTTTCACTTCTGCTTGGTGATCATTGGAAGAAGTTGATTTGTGGGGTTATCCGGTCCTTTAATTTTTTGACGTTCGCCTCTGTCTTGTGGATCCGAGAAAACATGGCTAACCGAGACAAGCAGGGGCACGAACCAGGAATCCAAAAGAAAAAATGTTACCTGATCCACCAGCAACCCTGCACATTAACAAATGCCCTTTTCAGCGGGCACTTGAACCACAGCGTTGATACAGTAGCAGCTGTGTGACCCTTGACCTGGTAGTTGTTGGGAAAAAGGACAACCCTAACTCTAACTATGAGCCGCTACATGTATAACACTTCTATACATGTTGTGCATACTGTACGTACAGTTGGATCAGTTGGGTGTATCTACTTGGAAGGTTGGATCCATAGCTACACACTTTACACTCTACCTAACTAGCTAAATGCAGTACAGTATGTGGCGGCTCAAGGATCGATATTAAATGCCCCCCCCCATCGCCAGAAACATGCAGAGCATGTTGGCTAACATCCGCAGCACCTCCTGTCGTGCGAAAGGGGGTCCAGCGCGACGCACATATGCATGGGACTTAAGGTCTACCGTGCAAGGTTGGGACACTCCTGCAGGGAAACCTGAAAGTCATAAGGTAAGCATGCGTTTTCCTCTCAATCTACCAGGGGGCAACTGCGGGTGTTTTCAAACCATAGGACCAAACAAAAATCATGTTGTTTCACAAACAAAACTAGATTTTTGTGACGAAGATAGTCTACAGTGTTTACAGGGGGACAAACACAAAATATTTTCCAAGTCCGATGATGTAGGAACATTGGACGAAAAAATGCTGGCATAAAGCAGAAATGTCCACCACCATTAACTTGCATCCGTGATTTTCATGAGTGGCCATCTGCATTTGACCCGAAAATCCTGCCCCCAAGGGAATGATGTTTGTCACGTCCAATCTCAATCGATGGCAGGTACTGGGGTGGTTCCAGTGCAAAATAGGCACCGCAATTGTTTCTTCGTGAAAAATAGCGGTCGGTTGGGTAGCCAACATTCTCAAAATTTTTGCGGATTTTCGGTCAAATGTGGGATCATGATCAGGATTGTTAGGCGTCAAAAATCATATTGGCAACTTGCCACAAACATTGAACTACTCCTCAGAGGGATGTACTGCATTTTTGTTGATCCTGTTTTGGTGTAATTCTCTATTCTCACTGCACCATCACATAATCCCCCTGAGCTTGCTGGCCCGGGCAAAGCGATACCCCGTCGCTTCTCGAAAACCTGCCTGCACAAAGAGTGGTTGTTTGCAATGGTGCGAAAGCAGATCTTTGAAATTAAGTTCCCGATAAATTATTTTTCCCGAAAAACAAATACGCACGTGCGTACATACACTCATTTTCACTTTAACACGCAAGCATTCATGCAGGCTCGCGTTCAGCAATAAACATATTGCACTATACCTTGCGCTGAAATTTGTTGTTTTTCTGGTCACAAAAGATTGGCTACAGTCAGTGCAAACATCGCTACAAAAAATGATGCTACAGTATGCTGTAAGTCACGTTGCACTACCATGGGTTAAGCATATAGTTGCGCACGTTACATGCCGTGCATGCATGTGTTTATTAGCTTACACCCAGTAGATTCAGTAGATCCAAATATACGAACGCCCGTGCTAGATGGATTTTGGGTGCTGCGCATTCCCCTTACACTTCACTATGCAAGGAGCCAACCAAACCTAGATTCGGGCAAGACAATGTCTGTCGCAAATCCAAGATGAGGGGCTCGTAACAGCATCATTTCGGCTTCTCATAAAATCATACTAGGATCAGTTGCTCCTCAGTATACGGGCAACAAGTTCCCTGAAGTATGTTCATACACGTCAACCATATATGTGCAAAAAATGGCTCTGGTACTGGTACTTTCCTCGAGTTTCCAGAAGTACTTTTGACCACTGCTATGATACTGTTTAATGGTGAATGCAAGGTGTATGTACTTCTATTGTTCCGGTATTTGGGAGGGATCACGCACTTAAGAAAGGCCCAGGGACACTTGAAGGCTACAGCGGGGAAAGTATATTTCAAAAAGGGAACCCTCTGAAAAATCCACAGGATTGCAAGCCCTAGTACATTACAGAGTCTATCATATACTTTTGTTTCTCGCGTTTTCCCAATGAATATTTCATGTTATGAATGAAACAAGTCATTTGATTTAAGTTCATGTGCCTTCTCACCGTCTATGGTGGAAGTTGAATCACTTAGAATCACTGGTTGGCAACTGGCACGTGGGGCTGCAACCACCATAGGATTGACATGATACACGGTGCTTATCCAGTGACCATACGTTATCATGGGCTCTCAGCATACTTTCTGGCTTCGTGTCAACATTGCCTTCATAGTCGAAGCTTCTCCAGCCACATATTCACTTCTGAACTTCTTGACATGTATATACATACACATTTCATATCATATGTTCAATACATTGATGTGTAAGAAATAATTGCTGTGTATGTGTGTTTTCCAAAAACCAACTCACCTATCTAATTTTGAGGCCCCAACTTGTTCCCTCTGGTAATCTAGTCAGGAATTGCAGCATCATCGACGAGGTCTGTCCACAGACCAAAATGCTATTATATTATTGTAGATATGTATGTATGTCTGTCTGTCTGTCTGCCTGTCTGTCTGTCTGTATGTATGTATGTATTTTTGTATGTATTTTTGTATGTATTTTTGTATGTATTTTTGTATGTATTTTTGTATGTATTTTTGTATGTATTTTTGTATGTATGTATGTATGTATGTATGTATTTATGTATGTATGTATGTATGTATGTATGTTTGCATGTATCTATCTATCTATCTGTCTAACTGTCTAACTATCTATCTATGTGTATTTCCCATCATTTCCCTTGCTACATTAGATTATCAGACGGTAGCAACGAAACGCAAACCACGGAAGTGTCCAGTTGACATACCAATTTTGTTGGCTTTGATGCTGGGAAAATCAATCATATGGCAATTTTGGGAACATGCCATATTCACAGAGCGTGTTTGTCCCAAAATAAGCTACTCCATTATATAGTGGTCTATGAAAGAAGTTTGTTACGGTTTTTCCAAAATAGAGGAAACATCAAATCAATATATATATATACATATGTATATATATATATGTACAGGCAATTGTATATATATATGTATATATATATTGACCGTAGCCTCTGGGAATCAAAATTCATCGATGTTGCCCAAATGCCCAGGCCATGAGATGTCCCATCCCATATTTGATCACCGGGGTTCACCTGAATCCATGGTCAACCCCATCCTACTGAATCCAGCATTGAAATCTGCAGTCCTCATCCATTTTCTGAACTTCTCTGGATGCATCTGGTGAAAAATTCCGG